CTGCCACTGCGCAGCTGGCCCTCTCAGTGCTCTTGTCTGGGCGTTCGAAGTGAATAAGATTGCTGCTGGTGCACAGGTCCTGGCAGGACCCGTCTCTTATAACCCATAGTCCAGCGCTGGACTTCAACAGGAAGAGCTGCGGCAGCTTCCAGCGCCTGAAGCAAGGGCTGTCTTTCTGTTGGCTGTGGTACTCGTAGCAGCCTGAGAGGTGTTTCAGCTGTTGTGGGAAGGTGAAGATGTACACCAAGGCCCCTGCACCGGAGGCAACTTTGTTTTTCACCTCTTGAGGTCTGGTCCGCAGCACGTGCAAGGGAGCGGTCTCAGACCCCAGTTGCCACTCCTTGAGGTCCTTTGAGGTCGCAATGGGCACCTTCAAATTCTTAGCGAAGCTCAGAAACCACTCTGTTGAGTGCGAGAACTGCCGGCAGCGGTCGCTGAACCAGCATCTCACCTCATTGTCATCGGAAAAGGGAACGAAATACGCCTGAAATAATCCCCGTTCCTCCGGTTCCCGCGGGATTCGCCACTTTTTCTGCAATCTTCGCCACTGTGGGATTGTCCACAGCGCACTTCATGGCGACGGAGTCTGAGCACTACACCTAAAGCGGAGGCGAGTTTGTTTTTGGGCTCCTGAGCTCTCGTCCGCAGCAATTGTTTTGGCGCAGTCACACTGCCAGTATCCACTACTCATTCCTTGAGGTCCTCTGAAGTGGCATGCGGAACCATCCGCCGCTTGCCATTGCTGATCACCCACTGCTCCTTCACACGGAAGTAGAGGCCCTTTTCGATCCACCAGTATCCCGGCTCATCGGAACCGTCGGGACCGCCAGGAACGAAGTTCTCCTGAAACAGCCCGAGCTGTTGATGTTCTTGGGCAAACGCGGTCTTGACAACTTTCTCTGCGAGCTGTGCCACTGTCGGATCATCCAGACGGCGTTTCATGGCGAGGCTCCCATCACGCTCACACTGCATAAAGGGCTTTGCTCTTGGCATAGTGCGCCTTGCGGCTACCGCGCAGAAGCCTTTCATGCCAATCCCCTTCCTGGCAGTCATCACAGCACTGATCCACTTCTGCCAAAGCTTCCCGAATAGCTTGCCACCGGCAAGGTGTTCTAGTTAACTCACCCTTGCAGACGAAGCCTCTAGAACCTCAACACCCAGCTCACGTTTGAGGACTTCTCGAGGCCTGTCGAGATCTTCTCCACCGCCCAATGAACAGCTGCGGATCTAGCAAGCTTTCGAGGAAGACCGGCTGAAAAAGAGCCTGTCTTGCATTGACTGGCCTTCATTCCCGTCACGGCCTCGGCCTTCCACGGCCATGGATTCATGTTTCCAAAAGTCTCCACGTTCTTCACAGCACCCACGGTGGTGCAGTGATGGAGCCATGCACACTGAACTGCTACAGGCTCACGTGGGCACCTGCCCGTTGCTGCTAAGAGATCAATATGCTTCAAACCCAAACCCGGAGAGCTGAGGCACGATGCCCCGCCAAGGAAGTTGTCCTAAGGTCATACGACTTCAGAAGGAAGCTGTAGCGGTAGTTCGACAAAGCTACATGTTTCACTGCCTTCATGACAGTCTTCGTCATTGGTAACGCTATGGCTTAGAAACGAGCATGTGCAGTCGCAGAGGATGCTGGGCAAGGCTGGGCAAAGAGGCTGGAGCCCAAGTTCTCATGACTGCGTCTGCGAAACCACACGCCTGACAACATCCTCATACCCCAAACCAAGGCCCTTGATTAACGTCTCGGTTTAAGACATCCGCACTCCGAAGCCAAAGAGCGCGTCTCCGGCAAAGATCCCCGAACCCGAACCTCGCGGACTTCCCGAAGATAAGTCTTCCGACGTTTCAGGTTCGGGGCGGGGACGTGAAGCTGGACAATGCAAAGGGACTCACACCCAAAGCGATGTCAGAAAATGCGAGACATCTCCACAACGCAAAACAACCTGCAGCTGAAGTCAATTTTACCTGACCTGAGGAGCGTCTTCCAACCCTTTCGGGTAGGCAGAAAACACGAGCACTTTGAATGTCCGGTACTGGGTTTAGGGCCTAGGGTTTAAGCGTGAGACATAGCTGCTGGTGCACTTCTCAAGAACTTAGTATGTTAAACCCGAGAATCCGAAACTCTGTAAGATCCTGGCCTAGGTCTCTGCTCACAGCTGGGCAGCTTATCAGGCTTATCATTGACAAGACTTTTCTTTGCATGCCCTGCATTGCCATTTTGACCAGGGTTCCGAGTAGGGCCCAGGGAGTTGCGGCCCGAATCGCAACTGTTTTGCTTGGGATCGGAATACACGAGTCCACTAACCCGCGTATCAGCTCTGCACGTCTGTTGAAGCAGTCGGAAGCTTTAGTCCCTGCTCTCTTTCGCACCTTGACTTTCTCCACAGAGCCCTGTGCTAGGGCCTAGCAGCGGGCGTAGGGCGCAGAATTTTAGGTTTCTGGCTTGGGGCGCGTTGTTGTTGTTGTTGTTGTTGTTGCTGTTGCTGTTGTTGTTGGTTTGGAGTTTTGGGTGTGGAACTGAAGGCTGACGGGCTGGGGTTTTGGATTCAGCGCTGTCGGTTTCTCGTTGGGGGTTGGGGGCTCGGGACATGGTTTTTTAGAACCTGGCGCTCCAACTTCGCTCGGATCGTGGCTTCCCTGACTCTGACTCTGGCTGATCTCTAGGGGCAACCCTCAACCGTAGCTATGATGCACCCGACATTAATCTTGGGCACAACTGTCAAGAAAGCGCAGGCAGTGGGGCACCAACTGCTCTTTCATTCTTCGGCAGAGCTCTGACATCAGTTTCGAAGGAACCAGTCCTGAAGACTTGCTCAAATCACACGAGTACACCCTAAACGTGAAACTCAAATACCAATCGCAGCCACCCCGAGTCCCTAAAATGCGAACCCACAGGCTTGCATGCACACCTCAGAGCCGATTTCCACGATATCCACAGGATCCTGGCGATTCCCGCCATCAGGCTTGCAAAGATTAGGGTTCGGCACGTGGGGTTTAAAGGTACAGGTCGCAGGCTTCTGCTTTTTCTGTTAGTAGCAATCGTGGTGGCAGTAGTAGTAGTGGCTGTGGCGGTGGGGTCGGAGTGGGGGGGTAGTGGTGCCAGTGCTCGTGGTTCGGGCAGTCGTCCAAGTAGTTTTTGTGGCGTCGTCTCGTCGCCGTCCCTGGGCTAGTGGTGCTGCTGCCATATCGCTGCTACGTCTGTCGCCCCATGGTTCCTTCTGCGACCACACTCCCGTTTCCGCAATCCAACAGATCCTCTCCTGTTTGGACTGAAAAGCTGGCAGTCAGTGTCAGCTGTTAAGAGCAAGTTATCACAAACAATACCACGTTAATAGTTTCAGCAGTCACTTTAATACCCTCAACCCCAAGCCCCGAATTCCTCGCCGGCTTCATTCATGAAGCTACAAAAACTGCAGGCTCTGGGGCTGTAGCGTTGTCGCCGGCGCAATTGGTTTCCTTGTGGGTGACATTAGGGTCCTGAGCAGCGCTGCTACTCTGCGATTTGAGGGTGTGGATGACTTGAGAAATTGTATGTGAGAGAGGGAGAGAGAGAGAGAGAGAGAGAGAGCCAGAGAGCAAGAGACATTCCGCGCTAGATTGTTCCACTTGGGTCATCTGTATCGTATTGCGCTGGGTTTAGGGCCTTTTTGTTTCGAGGTTCTTGTCATCCTCACTGGCCATGCTCTTTCAGTCCGTTCAAGAAGATCAGAATCACACACTGGGGTTTGAGACTCTTCAATGCAAGCCGTCCCAGAAGGATCCTGCCACTACGAAAAGTGAAACTGATGAAGGTGTGCTAAAAGGCCTCAAACTTTTGGAACCGGGGTTTGGGCGTGAGAATGATATAGTAAAACGTCCAACAGGGAACGACTATGGAACGAGATTACTGTCACCATGAACTATCGGACTGCTGAGAAGCGGTAACTTCATGCCGCTGAGCCTTAACCCGCGACCCGAAAGTCCATCCTTAAGCTTGAACCCTGAACACAACCCGAGCCCGACCTCCCAGGTCTGTGGAAGCATGCCATAATTCCAGAAGATCGGGCCGTGATAGTCTCGCAGCTTGCCTGAAGAAAATGTTTGGGGTTTCGAGTGGGAGCAAGAGCAACCCCTCACGCCGAAACTTAAGAAGCATCGTGTTCGGATTCGGGGCGAAGGTCTTGGCACGGTTTGGGTTTTGACGAAACCTTGGGCATGGTCTAATTAGGACCGTCTGGGATATTCATGAGCGGTGAATCCGCAGTCCTTCGGTGAATCAGTAGAAGCCATAGCAAAGATGGGCAAGCTCATGGCCATATCATGATATCCACGCATATGCGTCTTGTCTGTCGCTCATCCTCCTGCTCCTGATTGTCACAACCACGAGCATAATCATGAGCGGTCATGATAATCACAACGATCACCTGCATGATGCTCATCGCGAGTGTGACCAGTCCGCCATGTCAAACAACAGCGGCAACAATTGCCAAATCAACAAAGCAACAAAGAGTTTCTGCAGCTGTTGCCTCTGCTGCAGCTGCAGCGTCTTCCACTTCTACTTACTACTTACTACTTACTACATACTACGTACTACGTACTACGTACTACCTACTACGTACTACTTACTACTTTCGATTTACTAACTAATACTTACTGCTACACCAACTATTACCGCCACAACCCCTACCACACCCACTACCACTACTATAAGTATTTATAACAATAACAATAATAATACAATAACAATACTAATACTAGTAAAAATAATACCACTATTACTGGTGCTACCGCTACTGCTACTGATACTGCTCGTGCTGTTGCTGTTGCTGTTGCTGCTGCTACTGCTACTGCTACTGCTACTGTTGTGACCTCTCACTAGCTTTGGACATATGCCAGCAGCTTCGCCACACCATGATCCCCGCACAAGCTCCGTCACAGAACCCCTCAGATTGACTTCATCCCGTGTGGCATTCTTCAGCCATGCTAGGCCTTTCTTCACATCCTGCGCAATGGGGTTCATCTCCTCCTTGATGGCGACCTGCTCCCAAAAGACTAAAGGCTGGAAAAAATGGTGACAATGAAAGAGCCACGGAAGTTCGATGCAAACGGGCGTGAAACACACTGTCGCGCGATCTATATCGATCTACTTCGAAGTGTGCCAGTACACCTATCTCTGTGTCTATGGCAATGCGCAGTAGCACTTTAAGGTACTTCGCCTTGCGTGTTTGGCTTCCGCTTCTGTTCCCTCGTTCTGTGGCTCCTGCAACTGCTGCCCTTCTGGCTCCAGTTTAACTCTTCGTATGATTGACGCATTGACAGAGGAGTATGTAAAACAGCGACTTCCGAGACTAGCTTGTGACGAGCAATGGCTCAAGCAGGCTGTGGCCGGAATCCTGTTGACGTTCCAAAACGGTCCACAGGACAGAATTTGGTGCAGCTCTAACCCCAGGATAAAAGCAGTGCTCAGAAGTGTCGACTTCATGCCGTCTTCTCCACTATTGGCTCACGGCCGCGAAAGGCCAGCGTGCTCATCCCATCACATGTACGATGACAGCAATATCTGCTCCTCCTCCTCCTCCTCCTATGGCTTCTACGTTTTGTTCTGTTCGCTTCTTCTCCTGTTGTCGTTTAGGATACCAGTGTGCTCCAAGAAGAAAAATGCCGGCGCTCGCGTTCGCGCTCTCTGCTCCTCTCTCCTCTGGGCCTCCATCTTGGGCTTCGTGTTCTTCGGGATCTCGATGAGGCAGTTGAAGTGCTGCGCGGAGGGGAACCGGAACCCCCCCACCCGGGCTTCAGTTGACGGCTCCTGCTTTTTTGGCTGTGAGCTTAAGAACTCTCTTGGCTGCGACTCTCCGTCCGTTGGCCCGGAAGTCTTGGTCCTAGACTCTATGTGGGAGGTTCGGAAATTAAGTGGACTGTCGACACACAGTACCCCAAAACTCTCTCGGCCGTGCTGGGAATTTCCGAAAAAAAGCGGGCTGTAGAGCCAAATTAGTTAACCCAAACCCGACGATCTCAAGAAGCTCCTCTGTACGGGTATATATGTTTTTACTTGCTGGGCCTTGGATTTCAGCCCTGATGTGGGCTCACAGGGAAACTGCTCATGCAGGAGCCTCGCACAGTAGTGCTGGTGCATAGCTCTACATTAGTATAAGCTATCTGCAAAGATGCTCTGCTCATAGTTTGGGTCATTTTGGATCCCTAAATGAAGCACATCCTTGCGGGCGATTCAACAATCTTCGTTTTACTCCGGCTTTCATCTCAACCAGTTTGGTGCGTGGGCAAGCATCCCCACTTCCATGATTCACCTTTACCGTCATAACCTAGCTTTTACGCAAACAAAAACCTCCAACCTTCCACATGATATAAAGCTTCGAGAGGCAGTAGCCCGCAGACCCTGAAGTCAGCCAGACGTCCCCAGATTCCCTCGAAACGGTCGCTACAGGCAAACCCAACTGCCATGAAGCCCCATACCTCACCGCTCTTGAGCGGGATGTCGTGCCATGGCGAAATCTTGTTGCCGTTGCCGTCCTCATGGCTCGGTGCGGGCTCAAAGTTGAGTCAGGATATTGGCTTTCAGACAGTGTGTAGGTTGTTTAAAGGCGGCTCCAAATTTCAGAGTGAAGGATTTAGGGTTTTGAGCTTGGGGTACAGGGCTTTCAGCACGGGGCCTGGGGGCGAAATGGGATTTGCGAATGGTGCTTTACGGACTTGATTTGGAGGGTGCGACGTACTTTCGAAACTGTACTTATGGATCTCAAGCCCAGTCTCAGGGTTCGAGCTTCTTCATCCGGAACCCTCATCATATGCCTTGGGGGTTAAGGGGTTTTATGGGGCTTAGGCTAACTTGTATCGTCAGAAGGTGAGCCGGTCTCAGAATGCTGGCTTTTCACTCCAAGCACAAACCGAGGCCAGCAAGAGATAGCGAGTGTCGATGATCCAGTCCGCATCAAAGAACCCCAGAACCATAAAGTCCGGAGAATTGGCTGGAGGCCTTCGATCACGGTTGAGGATTTTGCCGAGTTACTTAGGCACAAAGCGCTCAAGTCCTGTAGACCGTAGACCCTCCGTCCCGCACATCCCCCGCCACAGACCCGAAAGCCCCACACACCAAGGCCCCACTAGGCCCTGAACCCGTCCTTGAAGTGCATGCGGTACTCCGCAGTGCCCGCCGAGCCGACGATCTCCGGCGAGTAGGCCGAGAAGTACCGGACCTCTTCTTCGAATGCATCCGGGTAAGAGTTTAGCCTGCAGAGTTGTGGAGTTTATGATTTACTGGTGTCTGGGTTTGCCCGACCGCTCCGTAAAGGATTGTATCACTATGGGCTCCACTGACCAATTCTTACAGTAAGAGGTCGCATCGCGTTTTCTCAGGCTTTCTGTGGGGTGCTATGGGGTGACCAAAAAATCAAACATCGAGATCCTGCTGTAGCTGGCCTTGGAACAACCGGCATTGCGAGATCCTCATTTCTATATGCCTGTCACTGTTGGGGCTCCAGGTCAGCCCCTGAAGGTTAGGGCTCTAGCTCTAGCACTTGCGGCCTGTAAGGGCCTTCGGGATCTTTGCAACTTCCGGGATCCAGGCCGTTTAGGGCTGGATGCAGTAGCGTGATTTGGATTTCTGGTGTTCGCTCCAAGGTCTCGGGGCAGTCTTCACTCGCTCGGGCGCAGAGGTTCCCTCTCCAAGTCCCGGGCGGGAGTCACAGCAGCCCTCAAGCGGGCCACGGCGCCTCCGGACTTTCGGCGTTCATGAGCTCAGGGCTTGGGGCCTTTATGTTTCCAGGTTTCAGACTGTAAGGCTCCGGTCAGCGCTTGTGCTCGCTTTAAGCCTCAGCGGGCTGCAGTGTTGCAGTGCGCCCGCAACTGCAAAAAATTGCCGTTCAGTAGCACCAGAACCTGCTCTGCTGTGGGCATAGCAGTCCTTACATATCCTAAAGCAGTACAACGACAGTGGGTGTTTGATGGTTCTTGAACGTAGAGGAAAGCTGTGATGTGGCCCATTGGGCCTCCTCCTGCTAGACTGCTAGATCTCCGAGGTCCAGGCCGCACCCACCTCCTACTGGGGTTTAGCCCCCGGCAGCCCGCGGAATGACGCCTGACTTTGCGGGTTCACCCTCCCTGTACTTGTATTGATTGATGCCGAGGAACAATGATATGTACTGTTCGGACTCGGCACCTATGCCCTATCAGGCCTCACGCCAACAGCCCTTGCACGCGGAAGCCACCAAGCCCAACATGGTCCCTGCCCCCGCGTGGATCCTCTGACACCCAACTCCCCCATAGATAGACCCCCTAACTGTCCTAACTGCGAAGCAGAGACCGCAAAATGACAGGCCTCAACTCTAAAGCGTTTCACTGCAAACTCCTGGCCTCCATTTCTCAAAGCCAGGGACACTGCTCGCATGGCTGCTGGCACGCGATCTCACCTGAGCTGCTTGTGGCGGAGGTGTTGGGGTCTTCAGGGTTGAGCTGCAGGATTTAAGGCGGCTTCGGGCTGCAAGGGACTTTGCAAGCTTTTGAAAACTCTGGTGAAAGCTTGTTGGTTTTGAGGTTTAGGGCCGAGGGCTTGTGTGTGTGGGTCTCGGGGTAGGGGATTGAGAATTAGACAGGCTTAGTGTGAGGGACAAAGGCTTCATAAAGAAATCAGAAGCCGCAGAATCCACGTCTTGAGCCCTATGGTAGCCCTTAGGATTGGCACCAAAACGCCGAAACCTAAGCCAAAAACTTCAACTTTTGGTCGGGGAACCCAGTAATGGGATGTAGTATCCTCTACCCTCCCCCTAAACAGAAAAACTCGGAAGATCGGAACATGCTCGTACGAATTAAACAAATCTGTTTAAGGGTTCTGGCGTTTGGGGGTTTGGGGCTTTGGGGTTTTGTGGTTGGGGGTTTGTAGTTTTGGGGCTTTCGGGGGCTTCAGCCTTTGAGATGAGCTGCTTCGACGCTGTCGACTAGCATGTGGATGGGACACCGCGAAGGCCGAGCCCAGGCGGCACAAGCAACAAGCAAGCCTTGAGGGGATTGGGGAAGTCAGATCTGCCAACCATGTGGGGCCTACTACGACAACTCCAACTCCAACTCCAACTCCAACTCCTACTCCTGCTCCTACTCCTACTCCTACTCCTACTCCTACTCCTACTCCTACTCCTCCTCCTCCTCCTCCTCCTACTCCGACTACGACCACGACCACGACTACGACTACGACTACTACTACTACTACTACTACTACTACTACTACTACTACTACTTCTACTTCTACTACTGCTACTGCTACTGCTTCTGCTATTGCTACTCCTACTACTACGACTACTACTGCGACTA